GGTATTATAACTGGTTATTGTTGACAGATGTCCAAGTTAATAAAAAAACACAACTTTAGACATGTATATCGACTACATGTATCGTTAGCGCCATTCATGTGTGAAACCCGGAAACTTAGTTGCGCACCTAGTATATGCGTCTTTTACTCGCTTAGAATGGATTACTTATAATTGCTGGAAGTACGTAAAAATTAAAATAATAATTAAATCCTCTCATTGCATGATAAAAACTGATAGTTAAAAAATATATATTATAATAACTATGTTATTTTTCAGATTTATATTTCGCCATGTTTTAAAATTATCTAGCGTGAGATCACTTTTTAATAGAGTGATGTATAAAGTACTTGATCAAGCAATAAATTATAGTCCGCAAAAACATGCGCAACTTCACAAAAAATCTAGAAAACAAGTACAAGATTTTTCTATCAAAAGCTAATAGTGGAAAAATTATATGCAATAATGAACTAACAAGCAAAAGAATTATATATATTAAAAAATAATGTTCTTGTGATATTTTTATACTGTTAAAAAGCACAAGAAAATCATGTCAAAATATTTTGCTTATTGAATTCTAATATCAATACTATTGATTTTGTACCACATCTTGTTTCAACTCAAAAATTAATATACTTTAGAACTTTGCACCTACGAATTTTACTATAACAAATAATAAAATATGTTAAGAGAGTATGTTATTATATTGTACTATAATTTATCCTATAAAGTCATGATGGTTCACCGATAAAAAATAGTTACAAATTACAAAAAATAGTAAAATATTATTTAAAATTGTATTACAAATTAATATAAAATATTTTCCGTGTGTTTCAACAGAAGGATGTGTGTACAAAAAAATTTTCAACTGTTCAAACTATGCGAAACGGATAAAAAAAATGACATATGCATATGCCATTATTTGGCATTAGTGTGTAAAAACTATAGTTTTTGGAATATTTTTTTAAACATAAAAAATCTAACAAAGATAAGAATGTGCAGCCTGTTCCAACTGATAATGAATACCAGGTTAATGCTCCAACGAAAAAATACAAAGGAACAAACGTTCTAAACTAATTAGGGTCTGCTTTAGATCTGCTCGTTTATATATTTACTATTATATATTATTACTATCGTAATCGCGCAATTTTTTTCCAACCTACACATATCATAAATTCTTTTACAGTTATGCAATCATTGCAACGAAAGGATTAATCCAACGAATACTAATCAAAAAGAGTGCTTTGTTTATAGTGCCTTTCAATCGTCCTTTATTTCGCCAGCAAATTCATTCTCACAAAAAACATCGCGTATATAGCACGAAGTCACGACACCGAATACCACCAGAATACCACCAAAATACCACCGAAACACACCAATCTCGCGGCAAAACGTAATACAAATATTAATTTTGCACATTATATGAGCGACAAGGCGACGCAAATAAATTATATTCCACGTATATTAATCATTTCTAAAAAAAAAAATGACAACACGCTTTGTCGCACATTTTCTGTACAAAAACTGTGATGTAAATTCGTACTTCCGCGCGAACCGGACTCTGAACCCTATGCGCACTGCTAGATTGCATTTATTGTCTGGTCATCCATTCGCCATTTGCCTTTAGATTAACCTCCGTGTGTAACGTATACGTTTATATGTATATGTCGCGATGTCCATAAATATGCGCCGTCACTAACTTCCGTGTGAAGGACACTGCGTCCGCGTTGTCTTTCCGTGTCTTTCATTTCACTCGAGAATAAAAAAAATATGTAAATCATTCGGCGTGGCAAGATCGATTCGATTCTTTGTACAATGCACAAAAGTATTGGACCTCGTACGACGTAGCACAAATAATTTAGACAAATCAATTTGTTTACTGCGATGCCTCTGAGCCGTCTAGATGCAGTCTACAGAAGCGTACTCCTCACGAAGTTCTTTACAAAGGGTTGGGGAAACCCTCAAAATTTGAAGAGGTGAATGCCTAACCTGATCTAACCTAATTTCGCACTATTCGTTGAGTACTTCACGCCTTGAATTAACTATATACAGATTTTCATTGTTATTTTTATGTACATTATTATGTATTTAATTTATCTAAAATATGTTATATTTATGCACTCATGTAGACAACACATTTAATAACTGTAAACATATCTTTTGTCTTTTTTGAATAAAAGAACAATATTTATTTTAATTTAAAATTCCTTTCCATACATAATGTATAAGAATGTTATATAATACTTTCTTGTATCTCTCTCAATATTAAAACATACCAGAAAAAGTTCAATCATTAATAAGTATTTGCTTATATATCTAGTCAATAAAATTGACAATATAATCATTTGCAAAAAAAAAATAAACAATTCTGGATGTCTGTAGCATATAAACAATATAAAATTCCATTATATGTGGTTTAATGTTTTAATATAAAATTTATTGAAATAATGCTTGTATATCTTTCATTCCATAATAACTTATTATTTATAGAACACAGTATTTAAATGCACCATTCTGTTTCAGGATTTTTGAATTCAGAAAAGTTATTGCAAATCGAGAAGCATGCTACAATATGATACCACTTGACTATCCAATAGAGATAACAAAAGTATATTCAATAATTGCTTGTTAATTTAGATTTTATAATTATGTAGGCCATTATATGTTTCTTTACACAATAGGATGAAATTTGGTCAGATTGTCATATAATCGAAGGTCAATTTAAATCACCCTTTGAGGAGCATCTTCCAGGAATAATGCCAGATAAGACCAAGACGGCTTACTTTCAAATGGTTTTACCAACTAAATGGAGCTCCCACAAAATAAAGCCAATTTGTTTACATCTTGCAGGTACAGGAGATCATGTATGTATTCACTATTATTATATTATTGCTTCTTATTGTACTACTAATTTTCCTCAAAGTTTTATAGCATAATACAACTATTTTTATCAAGATATTTACATATTTTACTCATCAACTAGTTTTTTTGGCGACGTAGAAATCTTATTGCTAAACCACTGCTCAAAGAATCTGGAATAGCATCTATATTGCTGGAAAATCCATTTTATGGATTGAGGAAACCAGATGATCAAATGTAAGAACTTAATGGGAAGGTTTGTATGGGATAAAATTATACAACCAGCCACAATCTGACAATTTTTTGTAATTGTATAATCTTCTTTTTAGACGTTCCAGTTTGCATAATGTATGTGATATTTTTATTATGGGAGGCTGTTTGATAATGGAATCAATCGTTTTGCTAAATTGGTGCGAACAACAAGGATTTGGTCCACTAGGTCTTACTGGATTGTCAATGGGTGGCCATGTTAGTTTATGTAAAAATATGCAATGAACTTTAAATATATCTAAATATATTGTTCTCTCTACAGATGGCTTCTTTAGCAGCCACCAACTGGCCGAAACCTATATCACTAGTACCTTGCTTATCATGGTCAACTGCTTCACCTGTATTCACGGAAGGAGTAATGAGTGCATCGATAAATTGGGCACTTTTGGAAACACAATATTTTGCGGACAAAATTTATCAAAACGATCTCGCAAAAATGGTGAAAATAATTGATCACGATGTAAGTATATGATTTTTGTGTGGATTATGATTATGATTATATTTTTTTAATATCAGCAATTTGTTCTCAATTTTCTCAAATATACTTACAGGATGCTTTCTTGGCTGGTCAACATTTTGCAAAGCATTATCCCGCAAGCATGAACAGAATAGATAAGTTAAGAAAAGAATCCACAGAAATTAATGGAGACAATAATACTGCAGATAATACAAATGGTACAAATTCTATCGACAATGGTAAAGACAATAATATTTCTGTTGAACATGAATCTAGAAATGAGAAGCAATTGCAACATCAGATTGCAGAAGAAAAGGCAGCAGCAAAAATATTTCCCCTGAATTTGATCTCCAACAAATTTAAAGCGAAAGATCCTAATACTCTCAAAGGTAAATTAATCTTATATAATCAATAATAGAGTTTTTCTTATATAATCAATTGGAATTACATAACGTACAATCTATTGATTTGCCTAATTATAAATAAAAGTAATATAAAATGTAAAAAATGATATATCTCAATTTCCATTTTCTAGCGATGAAATTAAAGCAATTTGAATGTTTGTTCAAATGTTTGTTTCTATTGTCCTCGTGATTCTAGACAGCATGTAAGCAAGATTTTATATGATTTTTTTTTCTACGACAGGAGTTTGTTTACTGCCAGTGCCGAAGCATCCACTGTTTTCAGACAACAAATGGCGCGAGCACAAAGCGTTGCAATTTATGCGTGGCGTAATGGACGAATGTACACACTTGAAAAATTTTGAGGTACCTGTTGATACCGAATTAATTATCGCAGTTTGCGCCAAGGATGACGCTTACGTGCCACGAGATCATTGTATGAGCTTGGAAACGATATGGCCAGGAGCCGAAATTCGTTATATCAAAGCTGGCCATGTGAGTGCCTATCTTCTTCATCAGAAAGTCTTCAGGTACGACAGAATTTATTATTTTATTAATAAAAAATATTAATTTATTAAATTTATCAAATTGTCTACGTATTTCACATTAATAATATAGAAATATTTCATTAACATGTGTATTCTACTTCAGATCCACGATAGCTGAATCTATTCAACGATCCTTGAAGAAGTATCCTATTGAAGTGACTTGACGGTTTTACAACGTTATAACATGCGTATGTTATTTTAGACTCATTATTTTAAATTTAGTTAGATGATGGAATATTTTCCTAGTTTGTGATTACCGATTAAAGATTTACTGTTGAAGGTGTGCACACACACACGCACAATTTATTTTTCGATTGATGCAGGTAAAAATCGACCACTCAATAGTACAATTATTCAGTCAATTTCATAGAATATAATAATTGATATCAGTGTCATTGAATGTGCTATCTGCCAATAATGTTCCTACATAATACGATTATAGTAATTAAAAATTACGATATTCTTTGATATAGCAAACAAGTGATATAATTTTCTTTTTATATATATGTATATGTTTTATAGATCTATACATAGTTCTAACAAAGTAATTTTTTGCATTCATTTGTAAATCACAAATATTTACACAACACTATTGTATGTATCAAAATAAGTGTTTAAAAATTATTATATTTACTATACTCGACGTGTGTTTTATATAATGTTATATACAAATCATACTTTCGTACTCTTTAATGTGAATCATTTTGTGTAATCATGTAAGAGCATAAAATGAATGAATTTATTCACCAACGTCATATTTTAATTAAATATGTCCTCAGCAGTGTCTAGAGAAATTAATATGTTTTAATTATGAATTATATGTGTTATGCACAGTTTATTAAATATTTATTAAATTATATATAATTACATTTAATTGCATTTGACATGCAATTTTTAAAATTTGTGACTTTGAAATTAGTGATATGACTAGTGATATTTGTACAAATTGTAATTAAGTAATTAAGTAATTAAGTAGCTTTATATTTTAAATGTAATATTTTGTCAATAGGATGCACACAATATTTAGATGTGACATGCATATCCAGAGTTATTCAAAATTGCTGCACAATTCATATGGAAGATATTCTTTGACACCAATAGTACATGGCATCAGGAAACACTTGAAAAAAACTACTTCCATATTAAAATCAAATATGAAATTTAAATATTTATGCATCACGATTGTTGGATTAAGAAAGCATCAACATTTTTTTCAGAGCTGTATCTATCTGTTGAAATATTAATACTTATCACCTTCAGATTGATAGATGCAGTTCCAAAAAAATACTACTCTTGAAGCAGCCATGATGTATAAATGTCTAAATTTTATACTCCACATAATGCTATATACATATTTAAATTATAAACAAATAATTGTACTCACTTTTGCAAAGAGTTGCAGTTTTTTGCAGACCGTTGCAGACCATTGCAGATACTTGTTACTATTCCGTATCAGTTCCATTAAAAAATCGATAAATGCCATTTTGCATACACTTTACACACTATCGATTGAAATTCAACTCGTACACTCTATTTTGATAATTACGGAATCATGTCGCGATTTTACTACTCTGCAAAACACGAAACTCTGCGATATCGTTAGTCGTAAACACCCGCGAGTAAATAATACATTTCAACAATCGTGCGTCACTTTAATCGACAATCTTGACAAATATTTTTTTACTTGTTATACATTTCAAAGAATAAAATATGTTATTAATCGCAAAGCGTTCGCTCTGCGCATTTCAAACCGGTGTATTATAGAAAATGTCATGGCGGCCAAAAAAGCGCAATAAAAAGAAATAATGCCAGATTTACATTGCATCTATCACGCAATATAATATATCTGATATTCAATGGCTTAGTTTACACCGATTGTTTAGTACGCGTACCAAGTACTAAAGCAGCTTTTTTGATTGGTGTAGATTTTACACTAAACGATTTATACCTATCGGAGAAGCAGATTTAGTATTTGGTACGCGTACTAAACAATCGGTATAAACTAGGCCAATAAAGAATGTGTTTTTTAATGCTTGGTTTACACTACCAATTTTCAATATTTAATCAAAAATCTTATTTTTTAAAAACATATACAGCATTAGACAAAATTCCTAGAAAGTACATTTTCTTATTGGCTATCGAATTGCATTTGGTACAACTGGCCCTACTTATTTCTAGAGTCCTTGCCGCACGTAGAGTCCCTATATATAGGGACTCTAGCCGCACGGAAGTAATGTATGCCATCTAGCGTGCCATATGTAATCGATGAAAGCGGAAGCCGGGCGGCTCGGTTGTGAGTAGGGCCTCGCTAGCGTTGGCCGCATGTGTTTCGCGTTTCCTTTTCTCGTGGAAAAAGCTTCGCCGAAAATGCGCCGTGTTTACGTAATCCGCGGTAACGCGATGCCACGCCGGTACTGGTAGAAGCGCGGATCCAGTGTGAGGAACATTCGATTGTGTCGAGTAACGTTGTCGCGAGTTACGCGAACGCAACGAATTGTCGTTAACCGAAGACCGGAGATACGAAGTACGACGGTTACGAATCTGTGTGCCGCTGTCTGCTAGCGCTCTCGCAGCGAATCTCGCGTATGGTGCGTGTCCGAAGGACCTTCTCACGATTGTCTGTTGATTTTAAAATAGCTTCGTGATTTGCGACGCTATTTAAATCATTCGGAACAATATATAAACTCTGTACTAAGAGTTTATATTGTAAAAACGTTGAGTCAGCGTGTTCTCCTAACCCATCGGAAAGCACGAGGCACTTCGGGCGGCCTATATTTCGTATGCGATCTCCACGCGATTCGACAGCGTCGAGACTGCACGGAGTGTCGCATTAGGACGTGTACGTGAGAAACGTAAGAGCACATCTGCTTTGTTCAGTCGACCGCGTGCGTACACACCACGCGCGCACCTTCTAGAAAGACCGAAATCCCGACAACGTGTGTGATCGTTAAAACTCGTTAACATTCACGACATTTCAAAGATTTTTGCTGTCGCGCTCTCTTCATCGGAGAGAATAAACGTGCGTGCGACTAGGTGTCTCTTAGCATGGAAAGAATTATATGAAGTGTGAGGACGCGTGTGAGGTTAGTTTGCCCGTTCGCATAAGTTCGCTAACCGTTGGTCATAATTATTTCCTGAAAGCGGGAGAGTCGCTTCTATTTTCGCAAAAGTACGTCTCGGCGGCGACGAGGACGATAATTTCATAAGTCCAACGGGACGCGCGGCCTCGTGCACGGTCTGCAAACCTCGTGTTTTTGTCGGCAGCGTGTGCCGCAAGATGGCGGCCAAGCTGGCGAATCAAGGTGGCGCCCGGAGCACTGGCGAACGACAGGAGGCAGTGCTTTGCCAGTCCTACGCCAGTGTGCTCAATCCAAAGAGTGCTTCTCAAACTCGAGCAAGTTCTTTTAAGGGCAATAACAAAGAAAATATAGACGACCAAGCAACAGTTTCGCAGCAGCCTCCACAATCACAACAGCAGCAACAGCCGACAGCAGTGGTGAAAGAGAGAATAGTGCCAAGTATGGTAAGGGGTAAGCCCTACCAAAGAATCGCACGATGTCAGTCAACGCAACCGAATCAGTCTGTATCGAGCAACTATCCGACGAAATATAATCGTCATGACAGTCCGTCAAACACGCATATTAATGCCGAGAAGTCGGTCGCCGTCGTTCATAAAGAAGTGCTTAGTGAGTCACAACAAGAGGACAGTCATTATAATCGTGACGCCGAGCAGTTAAATAATGGTGATATCGGAAACGACGGCGAGTTCCAGACAGTCGCTCCGAAAGGTGCTCGCCGCAAAGAGAAGATGCGTGAACAAAATCATCGGGAGCGTCACCGGCTACGCGAAAACAACCGCCATCAGCAACCACGTGGTTCCAATGGCGCCGGAAGTGGGGGTATTGTTAGACGCGGAAGCGTGGAGAGATCGCACAGAGAGCGCGGCGACCGCAATGGAGTCGCCGATCATGGCTTGAAAGAGGCTCATCATCACAAGGACGAGCAAAACGTTGATGCAGATGTGCAACCGGTATCTCCATCGCTCCCTGTCAAATACATTGAAGCACCCTTGCCAGCAGTGAATCCTTGGACAAGGAACAAGGCATCGACGCCGCAAACTGCACCGACGTCTTCGCAACAGACATCCTGCAGTGTCCTCACAACACTCACATCTGATAGACAGAGTGAGAGAGAGAGAAGAGTGCTACAACAGCAACAGCAACAACAGCAGCAGCAGCAGCAGCAACAACAACAACAACAACAACAGCAGCAGCAGCAGAAACAACAACAGCAGCAGCAGCAACAACAACAACAGCAGCAGCAGCAGCAGCAACAACAACAACAGCAACAACAACAACATGGTACAACCGGTAAGTTAAATAATTTTTTAAGCACTGTTTTATGATTAGTTATGTGTTTCTCTCTATTGAAAAAAACTTTTTTCTCTACTTTTTAGTCGAGTAATTAAGAGATATAAAAGCAAAACACATTTGTTACTTTCAAAAATTTGTAATAAAGTTGGAGGAACCAACTACATTTAATACAGATGTGGATAAATGTTTTAATTTTGTTATTTTTTATAAAATAGTGAATTAGTTTATTATTTATAAGAAATTTTTTAAATAAAATTTTAATACAATTTTTTTATAAATATTTTTATAAAATTAAAAATTATATAAAAATTAAATTTTAAACTTGAGAGATATTTAAAATTGAGAATGTATGTCTTGTCCTTTTATATTTCTCATTTAACTAAGGCAAAAAAATGTTAGAATATGTTTAAAAATTGTTTTGAAGAAAGAAGTGACGGATATGTTAGAGAAAGTCAAAAAATAAAGGAATTTTTTGATTCTCAAATTATTTGAAAATGTTTCTTTATTTTTCGACTTTTTCTCATTTTATGGAATTTTGTGAACGTGATCAGAATTTTTCCTTATAAGAATAATTTTGAAACTCTTGAATTCTTTCGAACTTACGTATTCATATTTCTTAACCATTTTAATTTGAATTAAAAAATGCATATTAAAAAATGCATACAAATATTTGTTAGGGTATTTTAACATTAGAATTGCTTTATGAAGTATGTTTTTTATACGACCTTGCACTTTGCCCTCTGATTGCGTAATAGCCTTATCGCCTTTCTTTAAACTTTCTGCTTCTGAGCTATTACTCGCGAGAATGATCCCGATAATGATTACATAATTAATATGTCAAGTGCATGTGCCTTATTTTGTCGGTATTCCATGCTTAAATTGTTTTGTTGAAATTTGAGAAGTGATGGAATATCCGATTCACGAAATATTATGTGTATATATTTATATACCAATTTTATATACACAACAAATTTTTTATGATAATCAAGATATTTGATATTGAAAAAATATATATATATATATATATATATATATATATATATATAATAATTTTTTTTATAGTTTTACTTTTTATTTTACTTTTTTTTTTTAAATAAAGATGTCATATCAGATATCATTCTCTATGACAACACTTGAAATTTGATATCAAATATCTTGATAATTATTAAAATTTGTTAACATTAAACTGATATTCACGCAAAATCAACTAATATTAAACAAAGTTAACAAAATATTTCGTTATCCTTAAATATATAAATGAGAATATTTGAAAATATTTACAGAAAATATGTTATCTAATTGTAAGATTGTGCTCTTTTCGACAAACCGTGCAGGAGGTCTGTATCGAATGAGATATACATTACGAAACGAAATATGAAAATAGAACCACGCGAATGTGTGAGCGCTGAAAAATCACAGAGCGAGAAACGAATACACGAAGAGAAGTAATCGAGAAAAAAATTCAATCATCATCGTTTCCAGATGTTTTGCTGAACATTATATATTTTCATTAATAACTAATATTTCTACACTTAAAAAAATTGTAGGCTCAGAAATTGCATGCGTATTTAAAAATCTTGCCCAATTATGGAAAAATTATATCGCATTTCTTTAAATTAAAACATGAGAATTTTTTGCTACTATAGATCTTGTTGATGTAATTTAATTTAAATGTTTAGCAACTATGCAAAATATAAACTTAAAAAAAAATCTAAAACCAAATATAAAGTTTAACAAACATTTAAGTAATACGCGTCGTTAATCCTTCGATTAATTATAATAGTGATAATCGATAATAAAATCGTGGTGAGCCATTAGCGCTCGACTACCTTATCTACACTGTCAACACATCTGTGATATACGTGGCATCGAATATCCATGCTAATATGGACGAGAGCAACGTGTTCTTTTTTTTGGCAATTTATTTGCATATCAACAGATTCGATCTTAGCTTCTTGCAAAGCGAACCATCGGTTGCATTGCCGCAGAATTTACTTTTTTTATCAAAACCTTTATTTTGTTATGTTTGTTAATATTTTTTAATTCAATAATTATATCTTTAAAAGATCTATATTTTTATTTAATATGTTTGTTAAATTTAGAGAAAAAAGTTAAGAAAATTTTTCTTCAAAAATTTACAGAATGGGTTTAATAATACTTAGTCTAGCTTTTTTTTATAAAATTTGACAGTTTTTTAGATATGTTATTAATTGCAAAAATATTTGTATTTGATAAACTTTCTTATTTCTTATTTTTACAGCAGATTTTGGCAAATATCAGAGAGATTTAAACGCTTCACGAAAGGGTGAAAGGGACACTCATTTGATTCTACACACACATGGACGCTCTCGTTGTTTGTATAAACTTCTAACGCTCAGGGCAAAACTCGCCGAATTTGCGGACCGCAATTGGCCCCGTTTATTTCGATTGTACGAACACAAAGGAACGCTACGAGGGCAATGACATTGACACTCTTTCTGCACCGCAGTAGACACCACTAGTTACAGCATACGATTACAATTACGAGAACGTCCGTATGACTCGCGTCTTACTTAACAGTCCACGCGATCGAACATTCACTTTCGTCCAAAGGATCGGATTGACTAGAAACAACTAGGAACTTTCGGTATTTGATTCTTATTCCATTCCATAATCATTTATTTTACTACATTTTCTCTCAGCATTTTATAAACTCTTTTATTCTCGAAAAAAAAAAGAATTCTGCAGAAAACGTACATCAAATAATTTGCAATTAGAATTGATGAGAGATAGTTTCTTGATTCATTTTCATTCAACGTTATTTTTAAATTCCATTTTGTTTATTAATCTATTTAGCATTGATTTTTCATTCTATATAATATTGATATGAGAATCGCGTATGATATTAATATAAAATAAGATAAAGTGATGAGACGCATTTAGCTTGAAATGAGAACGTGGGCCTTGGTCTTATTGCAATCACTCTGACACGTTCGATCCACATTAAAATATGTCGCGGAAAGTGAGAGTCGCGAGTATGAAAACCTGTTTCGGGATTGCCACGATAGAAGTTAGAACGTTCGATCAGCAAATATTTTTCGACTGTGCGTCGTGTACAGACGTTTCGAATTGCAGGAACGTTATTTCTCAATTTCATTTAGTTATCAAAGCTTTTGTATAACGAAAAATTTCTATTAATTGCACATCTTTAGCTGAAAACTATATTTAAAATAAGTGGTATTATAAAAAGGAGGAAATAAGATGAGATAATCTTTCTCGCTGAATTCCTGCGTTTATTTTATGGAATACCGATTTTCTGCAGAAGGCCATTCAGAAAATATTGCGCTGAAAGAACGACTTGTTCACCTTTAGTGTGTTATATGAATACATTACAATCGAATGGTGATATGACATTTTTCAGGCAAGTATGTTGAGAACGAACATTGCATAGCCTTTTTTTATTACATGAAATATAATTTTTCAAATTTTATTTTTAATTACAAAAGTAGCATTTATATCTGAATGGTTTTGATTTCTTTGATCTCTTCCGTTTGTAGCAAGCACCTCGGATTTAGCATTTAGATAGACATTCTCATTAATAAAGTAATTATTCGAAGTAATTAAATTTAAAATGTGATAACAATTAAATGTTAATATGAAGGAACGATATAAAAAGAATCTTCTATGTGGAAGAATTTTAACATTTGTTGATTGATAGCGCAGAAGAAAACATTTTTCAAGATTGCGCAAATTTTGCTCGACTTTACTTTTTGCCGCTGTATTACATGTCATTAAGCCATAGAACGACTCTTAGCGTTTGCATTTTGAACCGATCAGAAAAAATTGTAACTTAATAACGTTACTTGATTGCTAATTGATCAAACTAATTGATCAAGCTAATTGATCAAGCTAATTGATCAACCTGTAGTCTCCACGATTTCATCTTGCAACGATATCGAATAATTCAGTACAAAGAATTTAGAATGCTTTCAGTCAATAGATTAATTGTTTAATGTCATTAATGATTTTTTATAATTTCTCTATCTTTATTTTCCGTTCGTCTAATTTCGTATAATTTTCTAAGAAGAGATACGCGATAAGAAAAGTACAGACATCTTCGAATAGATTTAGATGAAACAAATGGGTACCTAAGTACCTACGGATAGAGATTGCTCGGTTCACATTAACAATATACTAGCGGAAAATATTCGCGTTCCCGGCCGCAGCAGCTCCGTCGCCCGTCGTCATCGTTGTTGGATCGTTTCTTGAGCCAGCCGGCTTTCAGTGACTTGTCGACGTTCGAATCGCGACTTTAACATCTCGATCACGATACTGTGTCCCGTGCAAGATTGCAAGATATATTGAATTGATTGCAAGACTTACTGAATTCGAGTCAAGAATTCGCGCGCCTCCAGTCGATATAAATAAAGAGTTGATAGAACAAGACAGTTGTTACGTAACTTTATTACGTTTCGCTCGATCGAGAAAATGTGGAGAACTTGATTATTTATTAAAAATTGAAATTTGCCGCAGGGCAGATGCGACGCATCTGTTACATCGAAATGTATGAAGTGAAGTTTTTGTTCGCGTACCGGTTCTTCTTGCTGACGTAATTAAAACTACAATTTAATTACATTGCAACGCGCGCGCAACACGAGGCGGAACGAATCGGATTGTTAAATCTACTCGTGACAACAGGAAGTCGCATGTGAGACACGATGAAAATAGACGGACACGAAAACAATACTGTTAATCGTGAGTCAATATTATTCCTGCCACTTCTTTCATTACGCATGTAATTATCTAATTATCGTATAACGGTAATAATGGTTAATGATAAGATGACAGCAATTTAATTAGATCTCAGTAAATAAAACGATTATTAATAGATTAGGAATGTTCAGCTCATTAATTTATTATAATTACTGATATCGATATGGCTATTATTTATTTACTTTGGAGTTTACATAAAATTATTGTTTTGTAATATATATTATTGGATCTCTATTTCACGTTACGACGCATAAAATTTACGATTTCTATCGAAAAAAGATTTTGTTTTTGCGCAACATTTTACTGACAGAAAATGTTCGAATTGATTGAATTGATATTTAAATCGTTGTTTATTGTTTTGGACATCCATGATCGTCAATGGTTGTACGTTCAGGGCAATTTGCCACGATTATATTCTAGCTTCAGCGAAGTTTCTTGGCGTCGAGACAAGATCAAGCAATGCTAACGAAAAATTCAATTCGAACACAGATCACGGATAGCTCACGCTGTCTTTCAACTCTAGACTTTATTTTAGCTTTCTTAAACTCGATAAAACTGAGGAAGCAAACCTAAAAATATGTTATTGAAAACACTTTGAAGAAAATAATAGATCACATATACATATTGTTATATGATAAAACTTAAAATGTATAATAAAAAGTCTAAAAATTTTGTCTCTAATATAATTTTTCTATATGGATGCCGAATATAGGAAACTATTAATAACGATAAAATGATAAATATGTCAACATAATGCACATAAGTATTTAGAATTTAAATATATGCTTATGCGCGAATAGTAAAAGTTTATGAGCAAATAGGAAAGTGCAAGATGAAAAGGATAAAATGATACACGTTTTTGAGAAACGGTCTAATAACAAAATATACGGAAAGTAAAGACTTTTTTTATTCTCAAATCAAAATTGAAAGTCCTTTTACTTTTTAATTTTTCTTACTTTTACTTCCCTCTGTAATATCATTACAAACTCACTTTATTATTCATAGCACTGTGCTTTATAAATGATATAATTGATTGCTCTGATTTTATGGCTTTTAGATTACCTGCATAACGTTTCAATTTTGATTTCGATTAAAAACAAAGAGTAGCTCTCAAAAGATTTGCCCCAAACTAATATTTATTACAAACGTTTAACCTGCAGTGCTAATAATTGCAAAAATGATTAAAAAAATTTGTCAAAAAAGTAATTAATGCATTAAATAATAAATTAAAGAAAATGAAGAAGCACGTTTTTTTATTTGAAACTTTTTCGTTCAACATCGTAAATTTTCCACTTCTCTTCTCTGGTTTTTAACGTCGGATGTTGCAGATAAAAGTATTTAACAAACTTGCATGTGTGCGATAAAGATAATCGAGGTCATGCGGTTTGAAACAGGTTATAAAGAGGCCGATAAGGATGTAATTACGTGGAAACAGCTTTCGAAAAATTCTGACACTATTCTGAATTATTAAATGCAATTCAAAAACTTGCAACGAACTTTATGTTGTGCAACCTATTTGATTGTAGTCGTAGCATACAATTTTCACGAATACTTTATGTATTTTTTACATCTAATAATTCTTTATCTCTGATCGACTTTTAGAAACATATATCTTATTGTACATTTATTTTTACATTAAACATATTTTTTTTGTGTACAGAAAATGGTGTCGAAAGCGGTACCCAGTCCACAATTGTCAGAGCTCCCAGAGATAGGAGGAGACTCAATCAAAATGTAAGTAATGTACTTTTACTTTCTTTATTTATATTTTCAAAATTTATACATTTATTTCAAAAGATGAACAGATTTTATAAAGCTTGCTTGTTCATGACTGCACAATATGCTTAAAAAGTAATCTTGTATTTTTGAGACACTTGGAGAGCTGGATGTGTGATAAGTTAATATAATTGTTTTCAAAAAATATATAAAATATCAAGTTAATAAAAATAATTTTTCTTTTCCCACATCAATAATTTAACGAGCATAATGTAAGAAATCTTCAATCTTTATTATTTTGTTCAATCTTTATTTGAATCGAAAGAGGTCCATCAAATATTAATATATAATTGACAACGATGTTTTTATTTATTTATGTTACTTTAGTTATTATAACTATGGTCATCATTTTTTTGTTGTTATCAATTATATTATTAATAACATGATATTAACGTTTTATATATTGCAATAGGCAAGTGATTTCACGAATATTGGAGACTGGCCCACTTTAGGAACGCAAGAGGTGCGTATTATTATTGAATATTTATTAAATTATTAGTTCAATATGCTTGCACACATTTAATTACATTTAAGTACAATTGAGAAGTTGCTATGTTAATAATAATTATTCAATAATTAGTGTATCTGGATTCCATCTATTCAAACTATAATATTTGTTGTGATTTACATACTAAAGATATGCAAAACCTAGAGCTTGCAGATGATTTGTTGATGATCCTGCGAGTGTAGAAGTTTTGCTAGAGAGAAATATCAAATGTTATGTCATCTCAGATGATAATTCTTATCTCTAAGAATCTGTTCAGCATTTGTACACATGCTCTTTGAGCTAGTCCTGTCTTTTAATTTACAATATTTTGCTGTATTTTACATTTTTCGAACGTTTAATGAATGATATTTTAATTTAGAGAAAAGCCACATCTTCTCCAAAGCAAAATGGCATGGTCAATGGTGAATTAAATACTCCTAAAGTGAGTAGCACAAATACTACCGAAAGCAAAGGCAAGGAAAATAAGGAGCAAAACCACTGCCAAGATGATAGCGACGAGCATGCAGATAACGGCGAAAAGAAGAAGAAAGGTGAGACAATTGATACTTGCATCTGACAAAATAAATGAACTTATTGGTGGTTGTTTTAAGTCTAATTAAAAAAAATATTATTTTTAATGTGCAATTTTATTCTATTTTTATATTGTTTTTATAGCGAATAAACAAAAATGGGTGCCGCTCGAGATTGACTTGGCGCAAACACGCGGAACTATGCGATCGCCAAGATTTCACAGAGAAAAAAATGGCGAAGGTAAAATTATTTGTATATAATGATATATTGTTAATGAAAACGAATGTTAATGAAGTCTGAATAATAATTGCAATGTTAAATAAACAGCAAACGATGGCGAGCACTGGCGTGACAGAGATTACGATAGATCGACAGGATACAATCAACGAGGACGTGGCGGAAGAAGTAGAAATAGAGGACGCGGCGGACGTGGTCGCGGTAGTTTTAGATATCGACAGGATCATGAATATACAAATTATACTGCGGACTATGCACAGGTAAGTTTTTTACAGATATTCAGCACTTGAAGAACCACTCATGAATTATTTATTTCTTCCAATTATGATGTTACCATAAGTGGGAATCTATCTGACAATATTCTGATGGATAATAAGTTTTGGATAGTAGAACTGAAAATTTTTCATATTTGTATATTTTTCTTTCGCATGTGTATTTTTAACACTGCAACTTGCCGCATTGCCGCATAACAAGTATCTTTTTTTCGCAGGTATATAAATACGAAAATGCAGATGCTGGATATGCGATACCTTACATGGGGACTTGCTATTTTGATAATGTAAATTACATAGATTCCATAAAAGAATATATACGGAAACAAATGTAGGTTGCATTTTTATATTCTTCATATTCTTTGTATATAATTTATATAACAATAATAACAATTCTATTTTTTTTACAGAGAGTATTACTTCAGCGAAGAGAATCTTGTAAAGGACTTTTACATTCGTCGTAAAATGGACGCTCAAGGATTTTCGCCTCTCACGTTGATCGCATCTTTTCAACGTATTCACAGTTTAACAGAAGACTTGAATTTAGTAATAAGAGCAGTTCAAGAATCTGATAAACTGGAATTGCTAGAATCCGAGAATGGATACAAGGTATTGCGAATTCAAATTAATGAAATGGTAGATTTTGTCCGACAAAAAATCGAGTACACACATAGCACATATTTTCAAACAGTTCTAATATTATGTGCATATATATTAGACACAAAATTTGTGCTAAAGTAAATAGAAGAGGATTCGCTGACACCATTAGAACTTAATACTAAGTTCGATGAATGGGGTTTGATAGTAGACCTCTTTACACGCATATACAATTGTCGAGTATATCGTTTACGCATTTATGCGAAAGCGAATTCCATGATTAATTTTAATTGTTTTCTTTACAGATTAGGACAAAGTTCGATCCGTTAAAATGGCCTATCGAGGATCGAACCACTTCTTCAAATTTAGAACAGCCTATCTTACCTCCAAGCAAAGTAATACCTTCTGTCTCTGAAACTATATTCTGTCCTGCTACAAAGCCTCTATCCGCGGTACCTCCTGCTCCGATTCCTCGTGTTTACGAGACTTTCTATTCTGCAAGAAGACATAGTGAATCAGAAAGTATTTCTTCGTCGATAAGCGAGACTCTAAATCCTGATGTACCAGAGTTTGTACCGACGGATTTGACGGGAAGGACAAATGGATTCACCGCTGTGGATGAAAGCGGTGAAATAAAAAACAAAATTGATCTGGAAAAATCCAAAGAAGACATTTCTGAATCGACTGTCATAGAAACGCCGCTTCTTCCTCCGAATAATAATCTTTCTATGGAGATAAATGAGGAATCCACGACAGATTCTAGCACCCCTAATAGCCCATCAGAAAGACAAGTGAACGATGAATCAAATTCTTCAAGTGATAATGCTTGGCAGGAGGTAAGTGTTCATAAATTAGGTTCTTAAAAGCATGTGATTAATTGTGCAAACTCAATGAAAATATATGATTTATAGGTGAGAAGAAGAGTCAAGCAACCGCATAAAGACAGAAATGAAAAGACAGAGGTTACTCATAATGTGGAACGAGAGGAATTAGATTTCCAATTTGATGAGGAATTCGATACCCCACCTCCACCACCCCGACATAATGCCTTTTCTGAATGGTCAGTTCCTTTGACCATTCAATATTTATCCAATGGAGCCATTTAGAATTAGATATAGCTAATACCTAATTTTAGCTAATATCTAATTTCTTGATATTATATATTCAGTTATCCAATTCCATTTAAACAAAAGACTTTCCCTTTCTTATTTATATCCCGATTTTATTTATGTCAAACTGAATAGAACCACTAAATTATTTGTGAAACCTTATTTAATTTGTAATATTAATGGCATATTTTAATTTATAACAGTCCATAGTTTTTGAAGGGAGGGGGGAGGGGGTGATTAACAATTGTTTTTCTAAGTTTACTTTTATTTATTTTTTTTTCTCAAAAACTATATGTTAAATTATTTTAAATAAAATTTAAAAAAAATTTTTTTTATGTATATTACAATATACATTAAATTGGCAGTTATAATCTAATAAGAATATTTTCAATTAAGCACTTAAATTGACTATTGCCATACGAGAAAAATTAAAAACTTAAGAAATACTAAATAAATAAATATATTTTAATTAAAATTAAATTTTAAACAATTCGAGTTTATCAGATTCCTGAACTGCTCTTATTACTAAATTTAAGTCTTCCGTTAAACTGTGAATACGTCGAAAAGATGCGATCAACGTGAGAGGCGAAAATCCTTGAGCGTCCGATTTTACGACGAATATAAAAGTCCTTTACAAGATTCTCTTCGCTGAAGTAATACTCTCTGTAAAAAAAATAGAATTGTTATTATTGTTATATAAATTATATACAAAGAATATGAAGAATATAAAAATGCAACCTCGTATGGCAGTAGTCAATTTAAGTGCTTAATTGAAAATATTCTTGTTAGATTATAACTGCCAATTTAATGTATATTATAATATACATAAAAAAATTTTTTAAAATTTTATTTAAAATAATT